TATTCCAATATTATGCTTAATATTGAAAATATTTCGAAACACTTGTTCTTTCGTGCACATGTAAATTCCGCTCGAAATTGGCAAATTCCACCCAAAATGAACTACAGGTAAAAAAAAAAATGCATGTCAATTCCGCCCAAAACAAAAAAAAATATAATAGTAAAAATAATAATATTTATAATAATAAAAGATTCAAAATATTTTTTGATTGTCATCTGATACGATTGTTCAGTGTACTTACGTAAATTTGGAACCTCCAAAGTTCCAATTATTATATAACACGCCGCGTAGCGAACACTACGGTTGCGTCAACGCGTCGTACAGTCACGGAAAGCTTTAAAAATATTTATTTTCCGGACAGAATTTACAAATCCATTTTTGTACCTGTATATTTTTTTGGGCGGAATTTACATGTACCTTTTTTTGCTTGAATATTTTCCCGGGCGGAATTTACCATAGATCTTATTTTTACCTGTTCATTTCGGGCAGAATTTACAATCGCTCGTTCTTTCACATACTCTATTTTCTTATGTTCACATTGTGCTTTATAAATTTTAAATATATTTGTAAGATTTTTCATTTCTGGTAACAAATATTAATGGGCAGAACTAGCTCTGTAGTAGTGTGACGGAATTGCTGACAAATATTTTATGAAGTTATCAACGTTTGTAAGCTTTTCGGGAGTAGTTTTATTCTTTGGTGGATGATTTCCTCGACCTTCTGTTTTGGACTGGTTTAATGTCTTATTACGATTTTCTTCAGTGTATGTCAAAATTATTTGTGTAATATTTAATGTGCTAATCAAAAATTGTTGGCTAACTTTGGTGAACTCTCCGTCAATTAGTAAGTTATACGATTTAGAGCACGTTCTTCTACTTATATCATTTTCAGTGTATTTCCTTTTTTTTTTATGAGTCACTATACACGATACTAAAAAATCTTTTTGTTAAGAAGAAGGTAAAGTATAAAAGTTATCAAAAATGTCTTTCCTAAATGTATCATGAATTGCACCACATTTATTTTTACATGTAATTTCTTTACATGGATTTTGTAATAACACTTTTTTATCAATTAATTTACCTTTTCTAGTTTTATAAGATTTTCCACTTACTCTGTTTATTGCATTTAATTTTCTTTTATTACCAGTTCTTTTTTTTCTCTTTCCACTTTCACCAATAAGCTGATCTTTTGTTACCATGAAAAAAAAAATGTTATCTAAATTTAAATGGCTAAGTCAAAATATTGATATAATTAATAAATATTCATTAATAAAAAAAAAAATTTAAAAGATAAATTTATAGTTAATTTTAAATAATTAAAAATCAAAATTAAAATAATAATTAACCCTGGAGAGGTGACGTATTAAAAAATTTAAAGAAAGTTGTCGATCTTTTTGACCGACTTATTAGAAGTTAATTTTATAACACTGAAAAGTTTCTTTACCTACTTATTTGGGTGTGAAGTTATTCTTCTCTAAATAATAGGTATCAAAATAAATTAAGATACATATTTATTCTTTCAAAAGTACAAATAAAAAAATAAATATTAAATTACTGAAGTAATGTTTAAACTTTTATATTATTAAAAATGAAAATAAATAATAACTTTTCACTCATCTGAATCCGATTGGGTATTTTGTGCACATTCTGGACAGCTGGGAATTGTATATTCCCTGCATATAGGCGAATCACACGTAGAACAATGAATGGTGGTCTTGCGATTTTTTTTTCGATGAACACTAAACACATCTTCCTTCAGCTTCATTTTTCTGTGGTGTGGTTTATGGGGTGTCTGCGTAAACTTAATTATTTTTTCCCTCAAATCTCAAATAATATATTATTAATTATAAATGTATTATTTATATTATTAATAATATAATTTATATAATAATAGTTCATAAAATATATAATGTTTCATTAAACTAGAAATTATAGTCACAAAAAGCATGTGAAAATTATATACTATAAATTGAAGACGCTAGAAAAATCACAACTGCGATCGGTATATACTGACTAAATGACCGATTTTTGATATCAATCAATACAAAATGTAGAATAATAAATTCTATTTATCTAAAATGACGTAAAACTGTTATTGTATACGTGTATGAGAGGTATGGGGAACTATCAAGATATTGAGTTATCCACCATTTAATAATATCCAATATAAAAATAACTTCGGTCATAATGACCAACGAAACCTCTCCCGGGTTAATATAATGATTAGGTTTTGGATTTAAATATCAAAAATATGAAAAATATGCCCTTTCAAAAAATGAATACTACCTTAAATGTATACACTTGGCTGATCAATGGAAACTTCATTATCGTTCAGTTGAAGTACGTCATTTCGACACTTTTTGATCATCTAATTGGGTTATATTCGTTCCATAACATTCGTTTTCGTCAAACAATTAATATTAATTAATTTTAATTAATTCATCCATGTCATTCATTGTATTTTCAGCATTTTTAACTATTTTATTATCGACAGTAGAAGCCGTTACATTATTTTCAATCTAACATTTTGGTTCTTCCATGTCATGCTCTGGAGCAACTGATTCCGTTTCATAAAAAAATAGTAGTGAATCTAACCATTTTCCAACCTTTTCTTTATCTTTTGAAATGGTTTTGTGATTTTCACCATTACTTTTCACATGTGACATTATTTTCCATCCTCAGCGTATTCTCTAACATAATAAAAATTATAAACTTTATATTGAATATAGATTAAGAGCTTGACTTAATAAAATTGTTTTAACTTTTACTAATTAATACATTAAATTGCTAATAAAACGTGTTATAAAATAATATTTTTACTTACGTGTACCGTTGATTGATATGAATTTGAATTCAAACTTCAATACACGTTTACGTCCGCGTTAGTTTTAAATTGTATGCCACTACAACTACTGCGTAAATACTAATCACAAGTTTTGATTCACCACTCACATTACAGCAAGTAATAAACACATAAATGACAAAAAAACTGAAACTTATTGTTGTTGGTTTATCTAATATTATTATTATTGTTAATATAAATAGTAATACGCGTATTATTGAATATCTGCATCAAAATAATATTATTACATTTTAATTTACTTTATCTACTAGCTTATCATTTTAATAATAGATATCGTTATCATTTTTACAAAACAATAATGTCTGATCTAAATTTAAATAACTATTATGAACCGTAACAAAAATGTACCAATGACAAATGCAGTAACCCTAATACAAAACAATACTATTGATAATTAAATTATAAATATTATGTGGTCAAATGCTGTAACCCTTGACTAGGTCATAAATAAAACTAAATTAATCATACAAATTACTACTATAAACTTTTATTTCTTAAGAAAATTGATTATGTAGGTAAATAAAACGTTTAATTGTAAAATTATGTTTTTGTGGATTACAACATTTGGCCTTTTGACCATCGATATATTAAATATAATAATAGTTTTAGTATTATTTAATCTATAAAGTAAATAAATTATTGTTTAAATTTTATTTTTTTAATTATACATGGAAAATAAATACATTAAATATCTATTTATTAATATTTACATTTTATTATAATTGTACAAATATCAAACATTTAAAATTTACCTGTTTCATTGATTTAGCTTCTATTCTCTTATTTTGATTGATCGCTGAAGTAGAAGTTACACTTTGTGAATGATCCAGTGGTAAATGTAAGGTTGGAATTACATCAGGTTTCAGCATACGAACTTTAGGAGTGTAAACAACCGGGTTTTAATGGTTACTTTTTTGATCATGTTCAAAAAAAATTTGAGCATAAGAATTATAAAGAGAAGGAATGCAGCATTGGTTTTGATGAAATGTTTATCAAAGAGTTTTTAGAATATTCCAAACAATATGATTTTATTGAAGGTTTTCAAGATTTAGGAACTTACGGTAGAATGAATAAAAGTGCGAACTGCATATTAATGTTTTTAGCAAGTGGTATATATTATGATTAGAAATTTCCTGTAACATATTATCTTTCTAATTCTGGCGTAAAAAAAGAAATTTTAAAAGATTTAATTGTTGACATTTTAAACAAACTATTTGATATTGGCTTATGCCCGAAACTCATAGTATGTGATCAAGGGACATCAAATCAAAGTGCTTTAAAATTGTTAAATGTTAATGAGACAAATCCGTTTGTAAATGGTTATAAAATATATTCTTTATTCGATGTTCCGCATTTACTCAAAAGTGTTCGTAACAATTTCATTGAAGCTTGTTTTCAAAAGAACGATCAAATTTTTTCATACAAAGACATTAAAGATACTTATAATTTAGATAAACTAAGTAAAAAAAGTAATGCTCTTAATAAAATCACTGACGCACATATCCATCCAACGCCTTTTCAAAAAATGCGTGTGAAGTTGGCTGTGCAACTCTTAAGTCATTCTATGTCGTCAGCTATACGCACATGTGCCGAAACTGGTAAACTTTGCAGTAAAACCGCAATCAATACCACAGATTTTATAGAATTCATAAACAATTTATTTGATTGTTTAAATAGTAGATCACTTTATAGTAATAATCCATACAATTCTGCACTAACGCATACGGGAATTGTCAAAACTTTTTTAATAAGTGCTTCAAAATACTTTATAAACTTGAAAAAATCAAAAAAGGAAAAATTTCACAACCTCCATGCTTTAAAGGATTTACGCAAACTGTTAATGCTATTTTACAATTTTTTGAGGAAGAAAAATGTAATGACATTTTTTTTTAATGACAAATAGACTCAATCAAGATAAGCTTGAAAATTTATTTAGTATTTTTCGGCAGAAAGGGGGCTATAATAAAAATCCAACTGCAAGAACAATAAGGACTTCTATTAGAAGTAGTTGTATTTTTTCTTTGTGTGCTTCCACAGCAACTAACTGTGAACCATCGCAAGACACAAATGATTTTATATCAATCGATGTAGATAAAATATCTAACACAGAAACTATAGAAACATATTCTGATGACGAATCAGATTAAAGATTTATGACCAACTTTTGGAATAAATTCTAAAAATCGTTCTGTCGGTCCACCTTTATCACTGACATAGCGAAGTATAAAAGTAAGTTGGTCAGAATGTGTTATATCTGGTGTAGAGTCTACAACAATCAAATAATATTTACGACTTTTAACTTCATTTATGATAGATCCCTTAACTTTTTTGGTCGTTAATACAATAATTTCATCACAAATTGTTGATGATAAGTACGATGTAGTACCACGACCAGAATTACCATATTTCAAAATATTACGTTGTCCTAAGAAAGGGTCAAATTCTGATAACAATTCAAGAAGCATCATGTAATTTTCATTTTTAGGCAATCCGAAAATCTCTTCTTGTCCCCGGAATGGAAGTCCGCGTGAAGCTAATGTTTTAATTACAGATACTACTCTCTCTAAAACACTTCTCCAATACATTTTTTCATAGTTAATTTAAACCAATAACATAGAATCTAATCTTCCTTGTTCTTGTCCTAAATCTTTCAATTTTAGTAAACATGTTTTGTGATTTAACGATCCTTCGTGTTCTTTAAGACGCTTATGTGCATTTTTCCAATCATTAAAAACATCATTAGCTAAATTAAAAGATTAATTTTTAAATAACCAACAAGGTGCACAAAAAACTTTTCCTAATTTATGAGAGTAAACAAGCCATGTACGTGAAATTAGTTCACCATTAGATAATTTTGAATAAAACATAGTTTTGTTACAAAATCTCACTTTGCCTACAGAATATTGATTTTTCGATTGAATAAAATTGTCATTATTATTTTGTCCTACACCAGGTACTGCACAAAATTTTATAAAATTTGCAGTACGTGACCAATCTGCCGAATCGGTTGGAAAACGCTTAACTTCTTCTGTTGAATTGTCATCTTGCACCTTCATTAATTTTTACCATTACACATTTCGTCGACTTTTACATCATTCAAATCAACCTAAACATTTTATATTTTTGATATATTAAATACAGTAATGAAAATTCTTATTCAAAAGCATTCATATATTATATTTTATACACATACCTTGGACATAGATTATAAACTTTTTAATTCTGAACTGTCGTCGATCAACTTTATTTTATAGGTATTGATTTAAACGGTGAGTCGGTGAGCACTTTAGTCTCTATAATCGTAATCGATTACTGATTGACAGATTTCTGAGCAGTATGCACTGTGCAGAAGACGGGCGGCAGTGCCAGCGTCGCGCGTCGTCACAAATTGCAATCGCAATGTTTATTATTATTAATTGCTTTATGTTTATCAAAACATCTGATTTCCAGAATTAATTCTAGTATTCTGTTGCGTGCCAATATCAAATCCAGATCCAGGGTGTTATTTAAATGAAAATTACAACTCTTAAGAACAATAACGTATAAATACGTATAAATAAAGTTCATGTAACTGATACAAAAAGCGGCCGAGTGTTGTTGAAGTTGCTCAGGTCTTCGTGGCTCTGGTACATCTGCCGTTGCTGGTCTCCGGGCTCCCTTATATACGAAGAAGTCTCTTGTTGTTGTAATCGACAACCTTCTAATTCATATTAATTCTTGGAATTGTTTTCACACTTGAAAACAACAATCTCCAGGATGTCTTCTGTTCTCAATTGGCAATTCGTGGAAATGCAATAATATATTTACACGACTGCTATTTTGATTTATTATGATGTTTTTACAAAATATGAATCTAATATCTCGTATATATTATAATTCTTAGGCCACATATATATCTATATTACTATTGCTAACACCTCTAGCAATATTACATATTATATTATATATACTTATATTATTAACATATCTCGTAGCCTATAACAATTCTAAGAATAGACTAGTATGGTGGCCGCGCGCTTGCGTATATCCGTATATATCTAATAATTTACTGGTTATGCATTGTGCAAGCCGTCCCTCCCGTCCCCCACCTAGCTAGTAGGGCGGCTATATACTATGTACCTGGTGGCCCATTATTTGTCAATATTTGACTGCCTTGGCTGTCCTTTTGCGCATGCGCCATTCACAATATTGTATGTGTTTACGCCGCACACCCGTATACCACCTCCCATGAATTAACATAGGCAACGCCGGTAACTGCCTCGTCGATTGTCGATGTCGAACTTTTAAGTCTAACAGTTCTAACGTTGGCGGCGCGGCGAATCGCGCACCGGTCGCAGGATTCAATTCAAATGGCAAGGTTATTATAGCTTATAAATTAAAACGTTACTGCAACGTGACTATGTGAGCCATTCTCCAGTTTCATGCAAGTTGTATGCAAAAAAAAAAATTATTATAAAAAATTAATTTAGGTAAATATAATTATGAAATTAAGAAAAATTAAAAAGTAAAAATGAACTAAAAAATTGTGCCTCAAAAAATGTTGCGCCCTAGGCACGTGCCTTGATGGCCTATGGGTAAATCCACCCCTGATCATGGGTAATAATGAATAGTTTAGCACCTCAGATTACGCCTAGGCGATCATAACAAGGTGCCTTCGAATACTCTGACAGCTTAAATTGGGGGACTCTTAGACATATACGAAGATTTTTATTCTAGACTAGAGGCCTCGATTTGAAACGTGAATTAATACATACGTGAACACGAAGTCCGTGTACACGTGAACGAACAATTTGTATTCACGTATACTTAATACACGTGAATTTAATATCCGTGTTCACGTATTTTAAGTTATTTACGTATTCACGTATTCCCGTATTAACAGATATTTGTGCATATAATATGGTAACCGGCCTTTATGAACTGCACGTATCGAGCGAATTAACTGATTACTATTTTTATTATATACATTATACCTATTAGATAATAGATAAAGATACTTGTTTATATGAAATAAAACGAAAACTTTATCAATGGCTTATTAATATTTTGAATTATTTCCGTAATCTTATCCACACGTTGAATTATATTATAGGCAAGTATGCGGTATACCCAATATTGTATTGTGGGGTTATTTATGTGAGCAAGCTCTTGAGTGGGATAAGTCGTTTATTTTATCAACAATTTATAAATTCGATAAGCAAATGGTAACTTTACTAACAAATATTTGCACAGTTTACTTTTTTCTATACTGCGTGTTCGTCAAATATTACACTTACATTTTTAGTTTTTACAATAATGGGCAAAAGAAGAAGTTGGGTATGGGAATATGCTAAACGAAAAGGAGATAAAGCATATTGCGAATTATGTGACGAAGACGAAAATAATGAATATTCTTGTGTTGGTGGAACAACTGAGTCTAAAATAAGACATTTAAAAATTATGCATAAAGTTTATCAGCCAGAGACATCAACATCTAAGAGGTATGCCCATTAGAAAATAATCAATGTACGCTAAGGCCTATTATTTGCCGTGAATTTATTTTATTTTTTTGTAATTGTCACAAAAATTATGAATTTTGAGCGGAAATTTAGAAAATTTAGAAAACTTAACGACCATATTAACTTTTCTAATATAACCTTAGCGCTTTTGACATAACTGTCAGTCTTTTAATAATTGATGTGAATGAAAGAATGCGCTTATCGTTATCATTTATTGTTTATCGCTATATTCATTCGCACAATTATTTTGTTTTTATATTTTGAGTATAAATTTGGACGATAAATTAGATATTTATATTATGAAGAATAACGATTTAGTTTTTAATTATAGTTAAAAAATATTTTGTAGGGATTTTAAACTTATACAAAATATACTATACTTATACTAATATGATAAAATATAGGTACTTATTTTCTTAATATAATGTTGGCTGACAGTCAGTCTCCGATCAAAATCGTTTTTCGTATAAAATGATATATTATTGAATTCAAATTTCATCCACTCGACTACTACTATAGAACAGAGCGTTATTCACTTGACCACTTTTTTTTTATTTAATTGTATTTAATTTGTTTTATATATTTTACTATATTTATTCAACCAACACGTATCTATAGGTTAATTTCATCAAATAATCTCGAAGCAATTGACTCTTTACAAGACACAGATTCATTAACAAACAGCCAATCGTCATCTTCAAGTACCGATAACAATTTTACACAACCAAGTCAACATAATATACCAAGAAAGCGTCGCCGTTTTTTGACACATGATAGTGAGCCCTGAAAGAACAGAGTTAATCCATAAAGCGTTGGCCAAACTTATTTGTATGAACCAATTACCGCTATCTTTTTGTTCAAGCTCTGGATTCCTTCAATTTATGGCCGTCGTAGAGCCGAACTATAGAGCAATCAAAGAGGAAGCATTAAAAAAAAGACTACACTTTTTTAAGTCAACCGTCGAAGAAAAAATACGAAATGATAGCGGTAATTGGTTCATAAAATAAGTTTGACTTTTACTGTGATTAACTCTGTTCTTTCAGACTACATTTCTATATCATATATGATAAAAACTGGCATTTATTTATTTACTTGTTGTTGTGGTATATAATGTATATACAGTGCACTTGAAGATGCGATTGGCTGTTTTAATTCTATGTCTGACTAAGAATCAATTCTTCGGTATTTAATTAAATTAACTCTATAGATGATACATGTGTTGAATAAATACATAATCAAATAAATAAATACAATTAAATAAAAAGTGAGTCAAGTAATACTTATCTGCTAGTAAAGTAGTAGTGGACATATAATTTGGATAATATATATATCATTGTATACGAAAAACGATTTGATCGGAATGACTCAAAGCCAACATTATATTAAAATAAGTACCTATATTTTATCATATTGTATAAGATATAGTATGTTTGTATAAGTTTAAATCCCTACAAAATATTTTAACTATAATTAAAAACTAATCGTTATATAATATAAATATCTAATTATATCCAAATTTACAAAATAAAAACATTTGTGCGAATGAATATAGCGTACTAATAAATGATAACTGATAAGCGCATTCTTTCATTCCTGGTATTAAGGTGACAGTTATGTCAGCTATGAGTTATGAAAGTAGTCGTTAAGTTTTATAAATTTCTAAATTTCGCTCAAATTCCTCTTCATTATTAAAAATAAGTCACAACAAACAAACTACTGCTCTATAT